CTGAGAAACACCTGTCTTGAGTGACCTCCTCTCCCTTAGCGAATACTAAATTAGTAGAAAACCCTATTGTTTTACTTTCAGTTTAGGGCGAACGGTTCAAACACGACGTTCTTAGGTTGCAATACAACTGAAAGGACTTATACAGTACATATAAATTCCTGCTACCTATTTTTGACGAGACAGTCGCGTGTGTTCACCCACGATTAAAGCTTAATGCTCATTCAAAAATCAGATAAACAAATGCTCTTCGAAATGTTGCGCAAATTGAAATTTAAGTAGAAGTAAATTTCCTTGGATGGTCGGGGGTACTCCTTCCCAAGAAGTAATAGAATCTGTAAGTACTTTATACACATCATTTTATAACACATAGGAGATAAATTAATGATATTGCATGGTATTCGAAGAAATATTATATCTTAGAATACTTAAATATATTTGTGCTAATTAATGTTATGTGATATGGTTTCAGTTAGAGGCCGCTCCAGAGACTTTGTCCGTCATAGACAGTGCAAATTCCAATAAACCATTAGTTTTGTCGAGTCAATTATACAAGGTCGCAATTTGTAGTAGAGATATGATTTCTGACTGATTGTTGGCTAACTTCTTTCTGAATATTAATATTCTTTTCACAATATTAAGATTTTTATTTTTTGACGGCTTTCGCTAATTTGGTCTTATGCGACATGTCTTACGATCACATGATTAAAACCAATGATTCGTCAGTTCAGTTTACCACTACTAATTTCGGGTAATATAGATTATTTGATTATATTATGTAAGTTCAAGATTACATAATTAGCTAAAAATTAATCCAAAGATTTACTTATGTAATTAGTCATTAAGCTGCGATATAATAACAAACATCAAAGAAATCTATATAAGTTTGAACAGTTTGATTAATTATTTCTTTATTCCAACTTTTTGTTTTTTTTTTTTGAAAATATATATAAGGAATGACTCTCTTCATTAATAAAGATCGAAATTCAGTAAAATAAAATTTCATATAATATCTTTATTTCAATTCGGATATATTCTATACAATTTCTTTAACATATTATGATCACTGTTTTGCATTACGTAACATATGACGCACTGATGCAATTCATTTTTGTTTACCTAAAATAAATGACATTCCTGTTTGTTGGGTAAAAATTATTTTTAAACCTCTTAAATTTGTTTTTTCATATGAAAGTATCCATCAATAAACTTTTTCTCCTTGAAATTTTCTCTCGAAATATAAAAATCATCTTGAATAAATAATATATATAACATTTTATAGATAATTTAATATAGATAAATTAAAATGATATCACATCCAAATACTATGACAAATCCATGTCTATACGGACTTGATGTAAATACATTGAATAATACAACTCCTCCTTATAACGATCATAGAGATAGAGGATCACCGAGTGGTGAAAGAAGTGAAGGTGCAAACTTAAGTGAGAAAGTTATTGCCAGACTTGTTCATATAAGTTTATTTTCAAAGAAAAAAGAAATTCAGAAAAATGTTATTAATAATTATTTTGATGCTAATGCTGGTACGTCAAATCACCAAAGAAACCTATTTATTTTAATTATTGAAAATTTATCAACCTTTTCTTTTTTTAATATCTTTTTAGTCTTTGAGAATCCGATTTTGCTGGTTGAATCACATGATCAGATCAAAAATCAATTCCTCCTGCTTTCCACGTTCTTTTATTCCATAACACCTGAAATACAATCAATTACTAATAGCGCAATAGCTGGAAATCATCATTTAGTTTGCATCGATGCCTTGATTAAATATCGTCTTCCTCTTCGTTTCCCTCCATTTCCGTGTTTGCGTATGATATTTGGTAAAAATCATCAATGTTTTAATAACGAATTTATTCTGCGTATAATTTCAAGATTTGAATTCAATGAGCAACGTAAGATTGTTAGACATGAGGATATTTGGAGTTTAAAGGATTTGGTGGAATCTTTACCGATTATTGGATGGATGTATGCAGAAATTGCAAGGAAACTTACGGGAATGGTTACTGGAGGTGTTGTTATTGCTGTTAAAGAATTGGTAAATGCTTGGGAAGATTGGGATATTTAAAAATTTAATAAGTTGTCAATTTCATTGTTTTGATTACGCGGTCATTTTCTTTTTTTTTCATTATGAGTCTGTCTATAACAAACAATTAATAAAATTAAAATTTTATAATATAGCAAAGGAAAAAAAAGTAATAAACTTTTGACGTTTTCATAATCTTTAGAAATTTGTGTAGTCTTTTTTTATCTTTTCACGAATTATCAATTTTGTTTTGATCAACCCTTTTGCAGATAAACTTCCTTGTAATATACCTATTTTATAACGAAAATTAAAGAAAATTATCGTGAGAGAAATAGATGATGGTCAATGCTCATAATTTAAATTGTGCCTAATTTAAGTAATTTTCATACTAAAATTGGTAAAATTCGATCATAAATTCCGCCAAAATTATATTTCTCGAGGAAATTATAAATATATTATAATTGTGTTCTATGCAGAATAGATGTTACACATTATTAATAATTATGTAAAAAAAGAAGAAAAAAAAATCCTTTTTTTTTTTTTTTTTTTTTCTGAAATAATATCCCTTTTATTTCAAAAAAAAAAAAATGATTGTTTCAATTCCCGCTGAATGTTTACAAGAAATTTTTGAAAATTTACAAGACGACGAAATTTCATTACATTCCATATTATTGGTAAATCGTTTTTGGTGCAAAAATGTTTTACCAATTTTATGGAGACAACCCTTCTATTTGTGTGCAAAGAGAGGAGCTTCTCCAAAACTGGTGGAAACTTTTATTCAATGTATGGATAATGAATCCAAATGTCAATTGAGGCGCGAATGTAAAGCATTAAGACGAAAGATATCTTCAAGAATTCAACCAAATTTTGATTATGCTAGATACTTGAGAAGGATCTCTACAAGCGATTTATGGGAAAGTGTTCGGAAATGGGTTAATAATAAAGAATCTAAAACAGCATCCACTCTTAATCCTTCCAACACTAAAGAAAACACAAATACAAACATTTATTCATCAAATAATAAATCTACTTATTACGATCAATTAATGAGTCCTGATCAAAAGATGATCATAAGTGTTATAAAGGAATTGAGTTTGTTGTTTAATAAGCAATGTTCGGCATTTGATCAATTGACATTTAATACTGATCATGATGAAGTTATTGGGTTTTATTTATTAAGATGCTTACCACAAATACGAGAATTTAATTATTCAGGATGGGGAAATAAAGAAAGGAATTTGGATGTTGCTGCTAGATCAAGTAATTGTCAGAATTTGAGAAAATTAATTATAGAAAAGGTTTCGACAGAATCTAAACGAGGTGTATATGGTTTGAAGTATGGTGGTATTGGAAGGCTTGAACCAATTACAACCTTTTTTCCTATACCAAATCCCATTAGATCACAAAGGCATACGGGTCTTCGTGGTAGTGTCGCTCATACAAATTCAATGATCAATGATTTAATATTATCGTCACCATATGTGCGACATCAATCTTATAATATCACTGAAAATATAGATATAGGAACGACAAATTTATTGGACCCTTTCTATGAAATATTTACTTCCACAGGGACGCAAATGTCAAAGAATTTATCATCATTTCGTAATGATACACCCAGATCAGAAAGAGAACATCTTGAAAATTTAATCGAGTCACAAAAAAATTTACAATACATCTCCATTTCTTTTTGTGATTTAAATTTGAACTTCATCAATTCTCTTGAATCGCAATCAAGGTCATTAACTTATTTAGAGTTTGACACAATAACTTTTGAAAGGGATGTTGACTTGAAATTGTTTGGAATTTTTGTAAATTTAAAAACGTTAATTTTAACAAATTGTTCTTGGGATAATAATATTATCTGTAACAAACAAAACTCTAATAATAATAATAATCTTCTTCAGCCTTCATCAACAAAGTCAACAAATAATGATCAAACGAATTCTTTGGATAGTTATTATTCTTACAACAGATGTGATGTTCCTTTCTCGACTTCTTTCCTATCATTACAGTCATTGAGTGTTAGGGCATCATCAATTTCTCAAGATTCCTTATTATTTTTGATAAGGTCCTCTTCTTATACGCTTCGTTCACTTACATTGAATTGTCAACATGACATTGATTTCATTTTGCTCACCCTTATAATCACTCATTGTCATCATATCAGTGAATTGGAATTCTACATTGAAGTGCATGATTTGACTGATTGCTTTAGAATACTGAGTGAATATCACACATTGAAGAAATTGAAGTTATGTAACGGGACATGGGGAATTAACCCAAGCGAGCAATTGTTGAAAATAATAAATTTGATACCAAAGGGATTGAGAAAATTGGTCTTTCCTAAAATTTGGACTTTTAGTTCCATAGCATTGGATGAATTCTTGAAAAAATGTGATGTGAAATTAGAAGTTTTAGAATTAGTTTATTCATATTATAGTTCATAAAATTTGGATAACAAAAAAAGAGATCAAATTGTTGATTCAATCCTGTAAAAAAAAAAAAAAAAAAAAAAAAAAAAATCCTTGTGATGAAAATAAAATAGATTTTCTTTGAAGTCAACGCTTTGGATCATACAAAGATTATTTAAAATTTAGCAAACATTATGTAAAATTAGAAAATCGTATTTTTGATTGTTATTTAGTAAATTTATAATTACGCCTTTAAGAAACAATTTAGGTGTAACTTTTATCTCCAATAATGTAGATACAAAAAAAAAAAAAATAATAAAATTTAATGCAATAGAAAATTTACCAATTATACTTTATTGGTCATAATGAATAGCATACATGTATATGTATAAATTAATCAACCACAAGATTCTTGAGAATTACAAGTCTTCGAAGTAGCGTCATCTTCCTTTAAAAGTAAAGATTCGGATTTAACCTTTTCCAAAGCTGCTTTTATGTCAGATTGAATTGAAGCTTCACCATTTTTGGGGGAAACTTGCTCACAAGCTTTCAACACTTCCTCGAGAGGTGCATGGTCTCCCCATACTTTTTCTCGATATTGATAAATTACTTTTCCTCCTTCTGTACCCGATTTGATAATATACGTTCCTCCTAAAACAGTTCCATCTCCTTTAAGGTTGCCAGTGACACCCTATAAAGAAAATTTATATTATTGATCATTGTGGTTTGCAAAAAAAAAAAAAAAAAGATCGTTCGCTTACAGTTTTATAATTACTCCAGATGTTGTACCATACAGTTGGCTTAAGTATATTCGTAAGACCCGCATATTGTATTTTACCACCTCTAATATTAGAAGTAAATTAGTATAAGAAACATAAAAAAAGATATCTGAACTAATTCTACATACCCAATTGCACTGAAAAATGCCTTTTCTTTATCGAAATAAACAGTGCCTTTCCAAAATCCTTGATTAAAATCTTCAACTTCATTATTCAAATTCTCGTGTACAATAGCTACCATATTTAGACCCATTTTTCCCGATATTAATTCACGCAGAGAAGAAATTCTCACAGATTCTTCCCGACATAATTGACAACCAGGTCGACGAACTTGTAAAAATAAAGTAATAAGATAAATAACACTTGCAATACCAAACCATACTCAATCGCTTCACTTACCAACTAAAATCAATGCAGGGGCATTTTCCCAAATCTTGCCTGCTTTAAAATTAGAATTGTCTTTGAGTTCGGTAAGAGTTATATTTCTTAAGGTATCAATAGGAGTAATTTTGGTATCCATTTTTGCAGTTTGTTTTAGGTATTTTGCAAAAAAAAAGTTGTCCGGAACTTTATCAATCAAGCCTTTACCAACTTCGGTATTAAATGCGAAAAGAGAAATAAAAACTGTGAATATAGTCACGAAAATTATAGATTTAGAAAAAGAAGTGAGTTTATTCATGATTTTACTTTTTTTATCTACTAATTTCATCGAACATCTCATAATTATATTTCACTTCACGTGTTGATGTAAATGTAATCATTAATTCTGAATAGAATGAGAATTTATAAAGACTAAGAATCAAGAACTTGAGCAAAACAAGTTATTTTATCTATTAGTATATATAGATTAGAGCCCGGTTCGTGCATTTAAAAAATTACCAAAAATTGATTAACCATATATAAATTAATGCTACTTTGATAAATTTGGGCCAATATTGTATTAAATGGTTCCATTTTGTAAAATCCTCTTGTTGTGCAATTCTTAATGCAACAAAAGGCAGATTCCTTATTTTAAAAAATTCAAGATCTAGCATTAATCTAAAAAATTAAAATAATATTTAAATAAATATAAAATAAATAAAAATAATTAAAATATTTAATATCTACCTTTAAGTATTAAATGAAATAAATGTAATTAAAATATATAATAAATTTAAACCATGAATTATATCTAGTCTTAATAGGTAAAGAAGGTAAATTAGCAGATAAACCTTATATGTTTTTTTATTAAATAAAATTTCATTTGTATTTAAAAGAATAGATTTTATTCTCTTTATTTTTTATTTGCTGCTAATTATACAAATAAAATTTTAATATATTTTACTATAATATCTAATAATTTAAAATGTTTAAAATCCATTCAAATTTTATCAATAAGATTATAAATATAAGCAAAACATATGTTAGAAAATAAGTTTAATATTGTTATACGATGTTATCTAACTAATGATTAGGCAGACCAAAACACGTAATCAATTGAGTAGCAGCAAGATTTAGATCAATCTTTATTAAGTTTTGGAAGAGACTTTGGTTATTTTAGGCTATTGTTGACTTCGGTATTTTTCACGACTAAGTTTCAGAATTGGCAAGTATGATGACTTCCAATTCATCACGTACGATAAGTAATTTTCTTTGATGTAGGAAATTCTCAGTTAACGTTACAAAGTTTTATTTGTAACTAAGTTGATAGTGTTTAAGCAATTTAAAGATTACTTAAATCTAGATGACACTAAGCAGGATTGATAACGTTAAGCAATTTACAATTACTTAACCAAGGTTTTCACAAAGTAAGTCGATAATGTTAAGTAATCTAATATTACTTAACCAAGGTTAACACAAAGCAGGTTTTGACACAAAGTAATTTGATAACGTTAAGTAATCAAATTATTACTTAACCAAGGGTTAACACAAAGCAATTTGTTTATTATGAGACAATTTAGCAAAGAGTTTTTATTAACTTATAAATTATCTTTCCAAATTTCTATCTATACATGATAAAAAAACTCAGCTTATTTATAATGAAATTTCTACATTAAATTGCTATCTATTGCATAAAAACTATGTAATGATTCCCTCATCTTTTCTATGTTATGTTATTGTAATAATTGAGTAATGACTACCTAATCGCTATGCAATAGTCCTTTAACTATAATATATATATATATAAAGAGATGTAGAGAATATAATTATATTGTTCTTAAACTATTACTACATCCTTATACTTAGCCTTTGACTAGTTTCTCCTTGAAGTTCCTATTTGGAGTTTTTAGTTTAAAAGGTTACACATGTCGTCATAGGCTAATAATCTATTACTTCATTTCTTTATTAACCGATTTGGTTAATTTTGCAGATCATCATTTTTGCCGATTATTGTGTCATTAATTCTTGTAGATTAATTCATATGATGATTATTTGTAAATCATTTTACTGCATCACATTTCTAATTTCTTGAAGATTATTTGGGTTACAACAAGTTGATTACGATGTCTATCGATTGAAAAATAGACTTGGTATCTGAAGAATAATGATTTAACTTAATAACTTTAAGAATTTGTTCACGTTAATAAAACTATTGAATTAATAGTATATTAATTTATAAATACAAGGAATATTGAGGATATGATATATAAATAAAAAATCAGAAATACGTATGAATACTTCGAATATAATGGGAAAGTAATAATAATGGATTGGATTTTAGGTCACGAGTTTAACAGATCAATGTTATAGGAATAATGTATGGTTTATTAATAAAATATAAGTGTATTAATATGATTTAATAAACTAAATAAACTCTTATTTACGAATTTATCAATTTATGAATTTCACAATAAATTCTCTAATTAACTTTAATTAAAACTAAACTGAATTTAAATCTAACTCAAATCTAATTATCTCTAACTGTTTGTCTCTAATTATAGCAATTTCCTATCCTATTTATATAAAATATTTGATCTACTTCTATTACTATTTTAAGATAAAATAAAACTATAAAAACTAAAGAAACATTGTAAACTTCATTAACTTAGTTAACTACATTAACTAATTTAACTAAATAAACATAAAAAACTAATTAAACTTAAACAACTATATAAACTTAGTTAACAACATTATCATCATTTTTTAAGGGTTTAGTCATTTTAATTGTCAGCTTGCAACTTAAGAAATTATGGCTTTCTTTAGTAATGATCTGCAGAATTATAATAGCAATAATTCTTTTTAAATTATCATTGCTTCTATTGATCAATAATCTTGTGTTTTATATTCATTGAAAAACTCTCAATATGACAGTTCTAATAATCGTATTTCTATCAAAATATAATTATTAGGTCGAAAGTTATTTTATTTAACAATATTAAAGAAAAGAAAATATTATTAAATAGTCTCTATTAGAGCTCTGAACAGGTCGGGTCAGGTCGGATCACAGGTTGACCTGACCTGATTTGAAGCCCTAATTAATACAGAAGAAAGACATAAAACATTAATTAAAAAATAAAGTTATAGTTATAATTATTGATTTTTATTTAAAATAATTTTTTTTTGAAAGTTAATTAGAAAAAAATTTTGATAAGTAAAAAATAATAATTGCCATTACTTTTGGTTAAGACTGTAACTTCTTTTAAATATTATACGATCTGAGATTGGTTCATTAGAAAAAATCATTGTTAATGAGATTGCAAATGTATAGAACTTGCTGGACTAGGATTATAAACTAGAACAGGAGGTTTAGGCGAAAGAGATTTTAAGAAAAATAATAAATTCCAGCAGATAACTAAGAAAATTCCTTATGATAGAACCAATAATTGAGTATCATCTTTTTTTCTTGAATGGATTAGAGCTTGATGACTTCTTTCAAAATTATCAAATTATATTAGAATCGTAATAGGTATCTAGCTAGCATTGGCATATTCTGGTAGTATAGAATTATTGATAATGAGTTAAGTATTTGATTTACCACACGTCACATCCTGACTGTTCTTTATAAAGCTACTATTTTTTAATTTTTTAAATAAAATTTATATATTTAATTTGCTTTTTTCGAAGTTGTTAATGTGAATTGATTTGTGATTAACTTGTGAAATTACAAGTTAGATAAATTAGAACTCTATTCTATATATTACTAACAATTTACAGTCATACCTCTCTATAGCGAATTTTATATAACGAATTTTTTGGACAACTATATTAAATTTACCCTCGTTATAACGAACTAGCCAATCAAATTCTTTAAAAAATTCACTATAGCTCTATAGCGAAGTTGAAGTTCAGGACATAAAATTCGTTATATTAAGGGTTGACTGTAAACATAACGCTTATTTAAGTTGAGCGTTTTAAAGAACTGGCGTAACACTATTGTCACCTTTTTCAAAATTTTAATTTGGATTATCTGACTGTAAAGATAAATATTCTAAATAAAAATGGTTTCCATAATTATTTTTAAAATTTTTAACTAGTTGTAACTATTTATGAATTTTTATATTAAAATAAATTTACAAGGAGTTGCAATTTTTTAATTACTATGTCTAAGATAATCCAAATACAACTCGATCAAAAGAGATATAGTGACATTAACTTGCAGGAATTGTATTACTAATCAATTACTTTGAAATACATTTATATTTATTTGTAAGGTAAAGTGTAAATTAAGAGTTAGCTTTTCAGAATTTGATATACCAGAGAAGTTTTTTGTAATATTTAGTATTGTATTTTAATTTTTAGAAAAAAATATAGATACTCAGTATATCGAAGAATTTATCAATCTATTTGAAAACCTATAATTTGAGAGTATAGAAAAAGAAAAACAGAAGAATAAAATAAATAAATAAAAAAGAAAATAAATTAACTGATTGTTTTTATTATAGTTATATATTGAAAATTATTGTAATATATGTCAGTATTCCCTTAATATTAAATGATATATGAATGCAAGCTATTGTGATTCACCTGTATAAAAGAAGTCATAGAATTCCTTCAATCAAATAATGGTTTTTTATCTCCTATTATCAAAGCTAAAGATAAACTTTATCAACCTAATACATTTTCTCAAATTTTATGATTCTTGAAAATTTCTGGCTACAATTTCTATTGCTTATCTTTTGATAAAATAATATATACACACACCTTTATTATTCTGAATGTAATAAGTATTTTCCAACTCTTATATTTTTAATGAAAAATAAATAAATAATATATTCTGCTAATCATGGATGATCTAAGAAAAAAAATAAAAGTTAAAACTTTGCAATTCTTGATGATTTCTCTCTTCTTCTATCATAATAAAAGAAAAGGCTTTTCAAAAAAATGTATTCAAGGGAATACATATCAGATTAAGAATATTAATAATCAGTTTTGTATATGTATTTTCAAATTAATATATATATTATAATAATAATTAAATAATATTAAGTCATTGTTATTACATGATTTATAAGTAATGTATAATCTAAAATCCTCAGTTATTTCTTTCACCTCCTAAAATATTAGTTAATATATGTCACCGCTTTTATACTATCATCAATAATTTATAAAATAATAATATTATAATTTTACTAATCATTATACCAAATTATTACCTGATTTTTTTAATTTTACAAATTAGTCTAATTCATCTAATTTCATTAATTTTATATTTCTTAATTATTATATTAGTTTCTTTATTATTTTATATTTATTATTACAAGTATATTTTTTATATCTATTATATTTATTATATTTCATATTTTTACACTTATATTTACAAATTTATTAATTTATAGTATAACAAATAATTAGCTATAAAAAATTAATTTTATATAAATAGTAGTATTGCTATTTAAAATTAAAATTTCATAGTTTAGGCTTATCTAAATTAGTTTAGTTAATATCTAAATTACCAAAACTAGTTTTATTTAACCGAAACTAATTTTTAGTAGTTTAGAATAGTAACTTTAATAAATAGAATAATTTTTACTTAAGTTATAAATTAATTTTTTGTGAATTCTAAGTATTAATTAAAAATATTAATTTGAAACTTAATTACTTTTTCTTTTATTTATTTATTATCTAGAATTTGATTGTGAATCATTATATTAAATCTTTTAATTTTGTCAAGAATAAATAAAATTTCTAAATTTCTTAAGTTTTTAAGTTCAAAGTTTATATAAATAATTTAAAAAATTTTTAGATACCTATAAATTATATGATTTTTTTAATATTATAAACTCTGATAATAAAGAATTTATTTACTATAACAAAGTAATTTAAACTTGTATTAATAAAAAAATTTATTTTAATAATAATATAAATATATTTATAATAAACAGGTAATATTAATTCTTTATTTTTTCTTTATAAGTTAGCTAAAAAATTATTTCATAAGATAATATAATAATGATCTCATTATAATAGGAATATTAATTAATTTTAACTAAAGTTGCTTATATAAATTCATATGTTATTATTAATGAAGTTAATTTGAAAATATGCTTAATAATTTATAATATTTTTTATTAATTCATTTAATAAAAAATTACAAAATTATTTTTTCTTAACTGTGATATTATTATAATGAAAAACTTATTCAAGATGTCAAAACTTTACAAAATAGTTTGAAATTATTTTTGTATTAAGCAACTATTATATTTAGTTAAGGTTATTGGATAAATCTAGAGTTTAAATTGGTATCTAAATAATAAAGGTAAAACTTAAATTAAATTATATTAAAATCTTATTAAAAATTTGCGAAATTCAGAAAATAGTAAAACTATATTAAATGCTTAATAAAAATTTTGTAAAACTAAGGTTTGGCATTTAGTCAAATCTAAAATAAATTTAGACAAGCATCCTTATATCTAGTGAACAAAATATTTTATATTATAAAATATTATAAATTCACAAAAAGAATAAGTAATACTTTATTTTAAATTTGTATAAAGCAGATTTAATTAAAGTATATAAAGTAAAATAGCTTTTACTTTTTAATTTCAGATTTTTAGTATTATTAATTTATTAAATAATACTATTATGATAAATAATTAATTAATCAATAATATAATATTATAATATTATATAATAGTTAGGAAAAATTATAAATTTTTATTAAACTAATTTAGATCAAATCATATTTTATTCATAAGATTTTTATTATAAAATTTGTAACTAGAAAATATTTTAGGATAAAATATAACAATACTCACCCTTATTTTATATATTTTAAATCTTAATATGAAAATATCCTTAGCTTATAATTGTAAAAAAAGTTTAATCAATAATTAGAATACTAAAACAAAATATTTGATTTAATATAAATTCTGAACTTATTTTACTTAAAAAAAAATCATATTTAGCTTATAAATAAATTTTTAATTTTTTTAGAATTTCCTCCTTTTTTACTACAAACCTTCTATATATTTAAATCAAAAAAATATTTTGAAGTGTAATAAAACCTACCTTATGATCTTACTTTTGTTTACTATTATAATATTCAATTATAAAATTTAAAGAATATAATATATTTCTAATGAATTTATTAATCAAGAAGTACATATTATAACAAGATATAATAAAGAAATTTTTTTTATATGTAAAATTTAATTAAAAAAAAATCTGTATATTTTCATTAGAAAAATAATGACCTGCATTTCAAAATTAAAATTAAAGATTATCACAGAAAATTTAAATTCCTTATTACCAGCTAGTGCTATGAAGCCGATGCTAAGCCATTACACCAATGTATTTCGATATTTTTGGAAGAAGGCGATATCGACTAGTCTGAAATTTGCAGGTTTTCTAGATTCTAATTCTTTTTAAATTCATTGATATCATGTCTTAACATAATCTCAGTAATCTGTCTCAATTGCAACTTTTATCACATTCTCTATTAACAGTCAGTTTGTTTATGAAATCTATTAGTAAACTAAAAAAAACAAATTTCAAAAAAGTTTCAAATCTCAAAATAACGTCTAAAATCAATTACAAACAATAGTAGTATCATCCGATGGATCTCCAGGAAAGATGCAATATCATAATGTGATATATTCTAAAGAGAATTTATTTAAAAATTATGCAATACAACGTTCAGGAAAATTACAAAACATCGCGTAGTGAAAAACTATAATCGTACTAAATTAAGAATAACTCGAGTTAAACTCGAACACAAGATTCGAGTACTCTTCAGAGTTTAATTCACGAGTCACGAGTTGACACGACTACTCGGATGTCATGTTGAATATTTTATACATGACGGGATTTATTCAATGTTATGTGGCAAATACGCATCTCGGGATATATACAAAAATATACGAAATAGTTTATTAAGTAAACAATACCTTTCTTTCAATGTAAACACTCCAACAGATGTTTCATGGACAGGAAAACCCGATTAAATAGCTGAACCGAATTTATATTGCTCATCTGTTATAGAGTCAATTATTCTACTACACCTACAAACTAATCTAATGAAGCTTGCCTGTTGTAATATCTACATTTTCTACCTTATCACTTTCAGTATCTGCGATAATACATACTTCTTTACAGTCAATTAAATTATTCCAAGCAAACTAAATGGATTGTGATGATATCATCAAAGAAATCTAACTTTAAGTGTGAGACAAGAGATACAATTAATACAAGAAGGGTCCTGGCTTTATATGTAGAGTCATTAATTTTTTCTAAAAAAAATGACTCCTGGAGTTTTATTGGGGCAGTGCCTGTGCAAATAGGTACAATCAAAATCTTCCCACATGTTGAGGAATGAAACGCAAAATATTAGCTATTAAATATTCTTGCAATTACTAATGCCAAATAATGCCTACAAGATGAGGATAATAATTTGTAGATGTATCACGTGAAGGATGTTTACCAATGAGGGAAGTTCCCGGAAATATTTGAGCAAATATATGAATAATTTCAAAACTACCAGAACGAATTTTATCAAGATCTTTGATCATATTAACCACCTCAAATCCATGTCGCGTTGTTCAGTACCGGAGCCACCTGAGATACTGATTCCTTGATAGTCTTTTGACGAGAACTTGCTCTAATAAAGGCATCTAAATTATTTTGTATCCTGTCTTTAATGAACCGCTTTAAGTTCTTTCAATGTAATTATACAAGGTTATAATAGGGTCATCTATTTGTTTCAATAATTCCCTCTATAGAAAGGGGTTTTTCTGAGAATCAAATAGGATTAACGCGAAAAAAAACTTGATATCAGACCATTGATATTTTATTAATAAACATGACAACGAAATTTCTTGTTTGAGAAGTAAAACATTGAAAGACACTTACCAGTGGTGGAGACTACAATAATATGAACATTTCTGTCTGCATGTTGATCAACTTAAAATAATCAGTTAAAAATTTAATGGTTTCAATATTTCGCCACAAAGTTTTTCTTTAATATCTTTTTCAGTAGTAACACCTTTAATATTATCTTCTCCTTCTTGGTTGATATCAATCTTCCAAATATTTAGTACGTTATTAAGTTAATTTTTCCTTCCTTCAAGATAAGCTTTTTGAGGTGGGTAACTTTTAATTTGCTTACGCCATTTTTTTATCGTCAACAATGTTTTGAGAAAGTTAAGAGAGTTTTTGAGAAAGTTGTAGGTATATATATACCTTTCTGAATACATCGTGAGTATTTATAAAATAGACTCTCATGTTATGACGTATTACAGCAGATACTTCGGAAAGTTAATAAGAAAAAGGAAAAAAAAAAAAAAATACAAAAATGCAAAAAACTGCTTTATCATCCGTACAATTTGATTTGATCCAGTTAAGAGTGATGGTTTAATAGGATAAAGAGAAGCCAATAAGGAAGGAAAACAATAATACGATATGGGTAATACCATGTATTATCCAAATTTTTCATACCCTTGCTGTTTCAGTTTCAAACAATGATTTAAAATTCTTACTATAGTTAGACGCGTGGATAATCATTTTAACTGGTCTTTAAGATAAATCAGGATTGGACATGCAAAAAGCTTGTTATTTTTTAAATAAACAAATCTATCGGGGTTTTCAATTTCCTTTGTCAACAACTCCTTATAAGGGTAAAGGTTAATTATTTAATAATAAAAAAAAAATTCTACTTAAAAAATTGGTAATCGTGACCGAGTTATTTTATAAGAATTTGCACATAAAAAATTCAAAAAAAATTTTGATTTGCCAATGAAATGGTCCTTATAATTCGTTAACATAATAAGTATTAAGTAGGAATTTCGTATTTATTTTTTCATTTATTATCGCACCAATTTTAATTGTGACATGACGTAATTTTAAAAACTTGCCCTCAACTTTCAATTAAAAAAAAATAATAATAATTATGATAATAATAATTTGATACCAAAGAATAATAATATAAACAATTATATAAGTTGAATTTCTTCTATAGTACATTTATAAACGAAAAGGTTTAAAATCTAAATAAATCATTACATCATCAAAGAATTGAAATCATGCATTTGCAGGTTTAGGATCATAACAAGCGTCATCATTGGCCGTTGGAAAAGTATCTGAATCGGAGGATGGATCGGGTTGGTCAGTTGTATTGTCTTTTGTTGGGCATGCCGATTGACGCTTTACGACCATTGGAGTTACCATCACAACGATGAATGCGAGTACAATAAATAATCTGAGGATTTGTTTCATTTTTGATAATTTGATGCTTATAATTTCTTCGTTTAAGTTACGAAAATGATTAAGTAAAAAAAATAAAATAAAAAAAATTTAATAAAAATTAAATTTTAATAAAAAAAGTTTTTATATTAAACGATAAAACTGCTTACTTTTAAATTATGATTGTTTCCTCAGATTTATTTATTTATTAATTCGTTATTTTTTTTTCTTTTTTTCTTTTTTAAAAAAAAGGTTGGAAAGAAAAAAAAAGGAGGTCAATTCGAACTCATATATATATGAAATTTTTTGATCACAAAAAAAAAAAAGAGGACAAAATAAAGAGATTAAAATTTTCCATAATAATTAATGAGGCGTTACTTTGACAGGAATGTTCATTTAGCGCGTGTAACTTCACACCTCTTGTCGTTGATATTAATTAAGGAATTTTTCAATAATAATATCGGTTTTATTATTAGATGTCATGATGTCTTTTTTTTACAAGACGAGAGATGGTTGGCTACCATGAAGCCAAATATTCAAAAATAAAAAATATTAAAAATAGACCTCCTTCCTTGACAAAATTGGCTGGTAATCAATCATACAAACTTTGTATGACGAAGAAGCAGCAGCATTTATGTAAATACAAACAAATGGGCTCTTATTGCATTCACATTGTTATCTACCATTTCGTTCACGATATAATTATAAACAAAAGAATCCGAAAAAAGAAATCATCATAACATAATTAAGGGTGATAGTTAAAAATAACGTTGCTGTACTTCTCCTTTTTGACAATTTCAAAATATATTTAATGTTCTAAAGTTCAAGGTGCATAATGCGTGTCTAAATTCTTTTGAGTCGTAAAATGTTACTCTACTTACTATTTGTACACCTATTTAAAAATATCTATAAATGAAAATTTTTTATGACGTCCATCCTTACTTATTTTATAATGGTTATTAAACAAAAAGTCGTACAACTATCATTATTCAAAAAAAACGCCAAGGAAAAGGTTCCCTTCACTATTTTTGTGAAAAAAAAATCGGGAATAACTTTTAAGGAATTTCTTTCATACGGTTAAATAACTTTTGGTTTTCTGCATATTCGTTTTCGATCGATTTAAATATTTTATGTCAACGTAAATTGTATTACTCAATCAAACAGTCGGTTGGTCAAATGACCGACTGTGTGTCCGAACACGAATTCAATAACAGGAACAAAATAATATTTGAACATTCTGAAAAATTCCAGAACCTGATTTTCCTTGCATCTATAGTAAATTTACTAAAAAAAAAAAAAAGAAATGAAGCCAAATGTAATGAACTTATTTATGATTTTTATTCTTGCGTTATCCAATTTTACAGAAATTTATGCTTACACTGAAAATACTTACAATAAATCCGAAAATGATCAGTATTTTTCTAAAAATACTAAAGTAGTACTTCCGAATGGATCTATTTTATTTAGATTTTATAAAGATTGTAATGAACCAGATTTGCATCTAAGAATTCTTGATAAAAATGGAATTTTAACAACCTTTGACGTTGAAAAATTTTCAATCCCAAGATTAAATTTCTGTAAACCTGTACCATCAGATCATATTTCCATTTCTATTTTTCAAAATAAACTTTATTTATCATATTATAATTTTTCTGAAAGTGATATTACCGTTACATTAAGCTTAGAAGGAAAAATATTAAGGTAAAACAACTCTTTTTTTTGGTTCTTTACAACAAATACACTTTCTAATAGGGATACTTGGATTGGTCCCGACCATGAGCCATTATCTGGAACATTTCTCCAATATGGGTTCGGAAATCCATTTTATTACATGCTACCCGTCGGTATTGATACTTTTTTATGGATAAAATATGACCCACCGTAAGTTTTACTTCACAAAATAATATGACAACCGATGTTTTACAACCAAGCATAAAGATTTATGTTAGCTTTTTCATGTCTGAGATCAATAATTTTACAAAGCCTTTCATTATTTATCAAACAGCAATTTCAAATATAACCATGCAAAATGCAAAATGCAATCCAGACTATACGAAAATTCAATTCACATGTGTTATTCATCATCTTCAATCACAAAATTATTGTTGATTTCATTCCTTTCATCTGGGTCGGTTATTGATATTATAGAATTGAATAATGAAATTTATCATAACGCTCAATCAGTTGGAAAACTTAATTTATATTCCAAAGGTTATTTATTGTATTATATGAAAAAAGATTTATCTGGATGTGAATATGGCGGTGATATATATGATGATAATGATAATTGGTATTCAAAGTTGGAACTACCCGAAAATTTTACAATACAAAATCCATGCTTTGCTTTTAACAATGAAGTTGAAGAAGGTTTTGAAATGATTTCTAAAATTACGACAAACAACTTTACAATGATTACAGCATCTCTTCCAAAGTTTGTTGACGATGGTAAATTTAATTATCTTTCTGTAATAAAAGAAAAAATATATATTATTTGCAGAACATTATTAATTTTTATTTATTATATAGGTCGTAATTATAAATTGATTTTGGCAAATATTGAATCATTTGATCCACCAGACGGCTCTAAAGTTTCATTGGGAAGAGACATTCTTCAAATAATTATGCGATTTCAATTGAACTATCAAAAAGAAATATTACGGTTTTTCAAGTTAATAATGATGCGTCAAACAACGTCTGGTGTTATACAAGAATTCTGTACGGTTGATCCGGATCATAAAACGGTTTCTATAAAATTATTACGAAGCACATTTAATCAACAGAATACAGAGTATATGATATATATTGAACCTCATTTTGTAAAACAAAATGATACTAATGAACCTATGATTGGAATTGATCCATTTATTTGGAATCTTTATACCGGTAATTACTTGATAATTATTTAATTTTAAAGATTAATAATTTTAAACCTAGAACATTTTTTTCTTTTAGAAAATGAAGAAAACTCTTATGCAGGTAAGCTATATTAAACTATTTAATAATTTAATAAATTTAATAGCAATACAAAAGTTTATAAATTTATTTTTAGAATCATTTTCTGGATCAGTACGTTTAACGTCCGAAGGAACCGATAAATTTTTAGAATCCATACGAACGGAATTTGTTTTTCAATTAATCCAAGAAATATCTTCAATTCTTCCCGTTGATATAGATAGATTAGAAAGTAAAGGCTCTTATCAAATAGATACTTCAACTCTCTCAAAACAAGTAATTATTCCTTTACAAATCAAATCTACAAAGGATACTTATAAAAGGAATGCTGATGATTTGCAAAAGGACTTAGATATTATGATTAAATATAATGGCATTTCGAAGAATAATCATACTTCATTCTTGGATCAAACTTATGGTTATAAGTTTAGAGGTAAATCAATAATGATAATATCATCATTTAATTTTTTATTTTAATTAATATTATCTTTATCTAAATTTATCAGCTAGTATCAAAGATATTATATAAGATAATATGAGTTATTTAATAGGTTTTCTTGTTTTCTTTTTGATTTTAATTTTGATATTTGTCTGGGCTAAAAGAAAAAATAAGGAGGTAATTTGACATTATTTATTAAACTTAATTTTTTTTTATTTATCTAAAAATTACATTATTTATTTTACTTATAGGCAAAAAGTATAATTATCTTTCAACTTGTATTAATAATTATGGATTTTATATTAGATGTATTATTTATATATAAAAATAGTAAAGATATTTATTGGGTGCATATTGCAAGGTTTGTAAATAATAAAATGATTTATAATTTATAATATATTATTAATTTTTAATTTTTAATTTTTTATAGTTTATCTGCTTTGATAGTTCTTACTAGCATCAATTGTTTTATAGCAATTATATTAATAATTTATGAAATCTTCATAATAATCAATTTAATGAATGCTTTAAGTCACATATAACTGTTACTTCAATATTTACAATATTAGGAGCAACAAACATTGAAGCATTAAACATTTTATCATCAAAATTTGCAGGATTAAGTATATTTTCAGCTAATTATTCTGAAAAAATACAAATATTATTATTTTGGTGTGGATTGTTAAATTTTATTATTGAGGATATTCCTCAATTTATTATACAGGTAATTAATTTATTTTATATGATTATTAATAATTTACATAAATAATTAATTTTATAATATATTTTTTAAAAAAAAATTATATATATTATTAGATTCTTTATAAAATACAAATTGTATCTTATAATATTATTTCATTTTTAACTTTAATTACTAGTAGTTTAATAATTACTATTAACATTCTTAATAGATTATATAATTCAATTATTCAATATCAACAACAACGTCAATATTCTAAACATATTGTTATTCCAGTTAATAATAATAGTGATTTTGAAAATTTGGATAAAGATTTAAACTAAAAATATTTATGAAATAAGTAAATAAAAATAAAAATTATATATTAAAAATTATTTAATTATAAAATAAAAATAAAAATCTTTATACTATTTTAAATAAATTTATTTTTAATTAATTATATTAAAAAATTTTTTAAAAATAAAATATAAAAGTATATTATAAATTAAATAAAGTTATCCATTAAATTGTAGAGATTTGCTGGAAAATTTACCTACTTATTTACTATAAATTCTCTTCTGATTTACTTTTATAAATAATTAATATTTTTTAAATTAATTTTATAAATATATAATAAATTATAGCAAGTTTTATCTTTTAATTATATAATAAAAAATTTGAAGTTACTTATAAGCTAAAAATTTGTAATTTTAAAAATAATTTAAATTAAAAAATTTCACGTTTATTCTATGATAATCTTTTTAGAATTTACTTTTAGCTATATTAATCATAGTACAATATATTATAAAATTACAAAGAAAAACTTTTATTTTTATAATTTATTAAGAAATTTATGACTTTTATTAATGATAAAGTGATTCAATTAGTATGAAAACATATGAATTGTTAAAGAATTTTTAACAAATTATTATAATAAATTATTTGAAACTTAACTTTTAAAATTAAATTATTTTAAAAAAATTTTAAAATATTTACTAATAAAGTTAATAATATATATATTTAACTAAATTTTTTATATAATAATAATATTACTAAAATTAATATTTACTATTTTATAAAGAAATTAATACTTTTTTTTAATTTTGCAAGCAAATTTGTTTGCTTTATAATTTAATGGATATAAATTTTAAATTTAATAATATGGGACCTTTGCAATAAAAAGAGAAGAAACTGTCAGAAAAATAAAAAATGAATTAATGCTAAATTTGAACATATTTCAGCCTAAAAATCATATTTAGTATATTGATTTTTTCTGGCAATTTTCTTCTTTTCTATTGCAAAGGTCCCATATATCATAAATTTATAATTAAAAGTTTATAAATATAATTATTAAATTATTACTGCTGTAGAGTCAACAATTTCATAATTTATGGTATAGCAAAACATATGATAAGAATCAACAAATATATAATAAAAAACACAAAAAATCACATAAACAAGAAAGAATATTATTTTATTAAAAAGAATACTCAGATAAATTATAGTATGAAAAAGTTAAAGAATAAATTTTAGAAGGAAATAATTTAGATAAAATAGTTATTGAAGGAGAAAGGATAATTAAAAAACCAAATGAAGAGTCAAGAAATCAAATAATTAATGAACTGAACGAAAGGTCTTATAGAAAAACTTAGAAAATATTTGAAAATAATAAATTGAAGAAGTAACACAAATATGCAAAAAGATTACACAAAAGTAAAATAATTAGAAATGATGAAATGAATCACATAAAAACTTGTGTAATATAAAGGTAACATATGATATTATAATATTATAAAAATAAAAAAAAGGTTTATTTATAAAATATAAGTAGTAGTAAAACTAAAATCAGTAGGAAAACAAAGTAAAATTCAGTAGTAAAACCAAATGAAATTCAGAAATTAAATAGCAGAACTAAAGTAAATATTAAGTAATATTAAGTATTGTAAACGGATCTACAAAGTAATCTGCAAAATCGATCTATAAAAAGGGATTTGCAGAATTGATCAACAGAATGATTTACAAGATTGATCTACAAATTGATCTACATGTATTACATGATATTAATGACATTGTTGATATAATTGACATTAATGACATTATTGACATTGTTGACATTATTGACATTAATAACA